TGTTGGGGTTGGCGCTGCAGATGGCTGCCATTGGTTGTGTACCGGAAACAAATTCCGTGTGTGTGCAACATACTTGGCCATTCATTCATAACATACACAGCACTATGCTCTTTTGCTAAATAATAAGGCTGGCATTTCAGCAATAAAAACTCTACATCTGGTGACAGTGCTTATAAACAGTCAGTACATCTCCACACCACGAGTTATTGATAAACACCACCTCCTTTTACCTTCCCCAAAGCAGCAGTGCGGTCACCTCGATGTACAGTGTGTTTGTAGCTGAATCGTGGAATCTGGTACTCTGTCAGAAAGCCAAGTCTCTGAGAATTAAAGCACAGCATTCTCTGATTTCCCATTGTGCTGTAATCCTAGCCCTTAGCTCGTCCAGTTTGTTTTCCAAAGACTGTATGTTAGCTAGAAAGAGGCTAGGTAATGGCGAGTAGCGTGAGCTTTTAGCCTAGCATGGCGTCCCCCGCACATGCGTCTCCGTCTCTGGGTCGCTCTTCTGATTTCAGCCTACTCGCTTGTGCCTGGTGCTCCGGGGTCTCCCTGAGGGGGATGGTGGGTGATGGTGGTTGTTTTCATCGTTGTTGTTGTTGTTGTTGTTGCGGGAGTGAACAATGAGTTGTAGCTCCGGTGGTATGACACCAGTAAATTCCCAGTGGCTGTGTGAGTTGGCAATATCCAGCAATGCCTGTCTGTTGTATGTCAGCAGTGCATGACATTTGTGCACTGCAAAAAAAGTAAAAAACACACAAAAAAGAAGAAAACAAAGAAAAAGCCAGCATTCGAGAGCAGAACGTGCAAACACGTCTGCCTCAGTGGGCGCCATGCTTAAATCCCTCACCCACATAGATTCAAAGAACTCTTACGTGTGAACGCTGTTCCTAGATTTCAGTTCAGCATTCAACACAATAAATTCCCCAGCAGCTTATACAAAAACTTGGACACCTGGAACTCAAAACCTCTCTCTGCAACTGGGTGCTGGACTTTCTAACAGGGATGCCACAAAATGTGCGGGTCACCAGCAACATCTCCAAGACCAAAACGCTGAGCACAGGAGCTCCGCAGGGGTGTGTGCTCAGCCCATTGCTCTTCACACTGCTGACCCACAACTGTGTGCCAACCTACAGCACCAACCACATTGTCAAGTTTTCAGATGACACGACTGTAGTTGGCCTCATTACCAACAATGATGAGGCCAACTACAGGAGTGAGGTGTGCCAACTGGTCCAACAACCTCTTCCTAAATGTGGTGAAGACTACAGAGAACATTGTGGACTTCAGGAGGAAACCTCTAAAGCATCCACCACTGACCATCAATGGTGCTGTAGTGGAGAGAATGAGCAGTACCAAGTTCCTGGGGGTGCACATCTCTGAGGACCTCTCCTGGACCAACAATACCACATCACTGGCCAAGAAAGCTCAAACACGCCTCTACTTCCTCTGCAAACTGAGGAGAGCCAGTGTCCCACCCACATCATCCACTTTTTCTACCAGGGCACCATTGACACATCATCAACACTGGCTGCATCACTGTGTGGTACGGAGGCTGTACTGCCTCCTGCAGAAGGACCCTGCAACGTATAATGAAAACAGCCAGCAAGCTCATTGGCACCCCTCTGCTTTCCCTTACGGATATTTTTAACACCAGCCTCACCTGCAGAGCCATCAACATTGCTGATGACACCTCCCACCCCACACACTTCTGCCTTCAGGGAGAATGTATCTGAGTCTTCAGCCCCACTCCACCAGACTTACAAACAGCTTTGTCCACCAGACTGGGAGGATGCTGAACGCTGTCCATTACCTCCCCTCCTCTGCCCCCTGCCCCTTGAACTGCGACCCACCACAGAACATAAAAAGACTACCTCTGCTGTTTTGCACAAACTCAGTGAATTCCCCCTTTTTGTTATATTATACGTAAATCTGCTGCTGACTGTTTTTTATCGTCATATCTGCTGCTGTTGGTCATTTATGCTACTGTCCATGTGCATCTCATAATCTATTATTCATCTCATCACCAGCACCCCTGGAGATGCTAAGATCTGATAATCTTCTTGTTATTATTTACACCACTGTCACCGATTGTACATGGTTTTGAGTCATAGCCTATTAGGTTGTACTATTTAGTTCTATCCAAATCTTTGCTGGGGAAACAGTCAGAAAACACGTGATTTGAGAGAGTGGGTGATTTATTAAGTTGAGGAAATGGAGTTCATTGTCAATATGTGGTGGGGTGGAATGCAGCGGTGCTTTTGAACAAAGCTGTGGATCACTGTTATTGTAGGTGCTGAAGGTGGTAGAGGATGGTAATAGAGGTCCTTACTTGGTTGAATCTGAATGCAGATATCAGGGGTTGATATCTGCACTCACTTCTGCATGCTTGCAAAACCATTTTCACCTTGTACATTGGTCCCTTGCTTGCCACTTGCAATATCAATGATGCATGGCAGCAGGCCTTCTTTAGGATACCCTAGACAGTGATTTGAGCTTATTCCAGCTGTACCATTACCTGCTGAGGGGGACCAACAGAAATCGCCAGCAGGTCTTTTACAAGAAGCAGCAGTACTCTGTGGTCCTTTTCCACCATCTGACCTTAAAAACACCACCTCTTTGTGCATTGCTTGTTTCTAACAATGCCCCAATAAAACAGTAACATACAAATCTGAACACAACAATAAAAAATGCATAACTCTCCCAGCTTTTCTGGATTAAACTGCACTATTTACATTGTGTTTAAGCATTATTTTTTTCTCCCTCCATCTGCCAATCCTCTTGCGATACTTCAGACTTTGCTGAATACTGTGCCAGTAAATGTGTCAGATGTAATTACAACACTCATTAGAGAAGTTGCCTTTAATATCCGCAGCTTAATAGAATAACCAAGGTCAAACCTCTGTGTCTGCCGCACACTGAGGGCAGTTAATATTACAGTGCTACATGCTGCTGGCTTTGCTGCTACCATGCTTAAAGAATGACAATGGTGCAATGTGGTAATACAAAGCATTTAAAATACACCGCGCCTCCATTTTGAAGAGGAAAAAATACAAGGCTTCAATTTTATGTATTTGGACTCCACATAAACTTTCACCTAGGCATTAGTATATCTGAAATATTTTAGGGCTACGCCCCAAACTAAAAACTTTCGACACATCAAAATCTTTCTGTAAGTTAAGTGGATCAAGTTATGTGGAAATCAGCACATTTTGTCAAGATCAGATTTCCTTCTTTAGTGGTATATAAAATACATTTTTATTGGCTATCTGATTCAAAATGTATGAAAACCTAGATAAGCATCTGGATTTGCCTTTGAAATAGATCGCAGACTGTGCACCATTTGCAGTGGGTCACTCATAGTTGATACTGTGGATCTGTACCACCA